GCAGCATCTTCTCCCAAGTAACTACTATTTTCTTCCCAGAAGGGGAAGGATGTGATATCCTTCCCTCTAAGAGGAGATCATAGAATCATAGAATCATAAAGTTTGGAAAAACCACTAAGATCCCCAAGTCCAACTGTCAGTACTGTCTGCACCATGCCCTCTGCCAACGTCCCTCAGTGCCACCTCCCCACAGTTCTGGAACACCAGGGTTGGTGACCCCACCAGCTGTGCCATTGCATCGCTGCTCTCTTCAGAAGAAATTCTTCCTAACATTCAACCTGAACCTCCCCTGGCACAACTTATGGCCATTACCTATTATCCTATCACTGCTACCTGGGAGAAGAGGCCAAGATCCACCTTGCTACAACCTCCTTTCAGGGAGCTGTGCAGATCCCTCCATGGTGGCCTCCCATTTGGGGCCAGGAGAGATGAGCAGCAGCCCCAGCACTGGCTCTCTTCTTGAGACATGGGCTGCCAGCAGCACCTCAGGCTTCTATGGCCATCTGGTCAACCCAGGGCCAGTTCAGGCCTTTGGGTCTAGTCAACCATTACAGAGGTGGCTTCATGGGTGAACAGGCCCCCATCATGGGGCTCTGCCTCCTAAGGGTCCCCATGGCTTTGGGGATTCACCAAGGTCTGACAGTGGTTCAAGAAACTGCTGCTGAGCTCAGGCTTCCCTCCTTTCTTGTAAGACGGGGTAGATATGCTTTCACCTGGCAGGCCCTCCAGAAGCCAGAGGCTGAGAGGTGCTCAGAAATGAAGGACCAGCTAATTACTGTTGCTAGAAATGTCCCTGTCACTCTTCCCAGATAACTAGTCCTGCTATAAGTGTCCCTGACACCTTGCTGAGGGCAGAGGGGAACTAATGTGGAGTCCCTGATGCAGCAGCTAAAACCAGAGACAGCTGAATCCTCAATCCCCACAGTACCTCTGTGTTTAAAGGAGGGCATCCTACTTTTCTTACCTTCCACACATCAGATGTTGTTCCCTGCAGCTCAGGCATTCAAGCAGGCAGGACAGCCAAATCACACCTTAGATGTATCCAGAAAAACACAGGCACTGCTCTGCTTGATCCAGAAAGAGCCTGGTCCCAGCTTCCCCCCCTGGTGTGTTCAGCTGCAGCAGTACTTATCATGCAAAAATTGACGTCTGTCACCTCAGCAAATCGCAGGAACAGAAGCACGAAGTGCTCTTCTTTTGTCTTTGCTTGCTCAAGTCAGGCAAATGTTTTGCTCCTCCTGCAGAAATTCAGGATTGGAGGAAAAGTCACAGGCACAGTTAAGGCTGTGATGCAAGCACAGCACAGAAAAAAGTTGGTGAAAATCCCATCCTAACTTGTCAGAAAGCATTTGTGCTCACCTGCCTTTGCTTCAACTGCAAGGCTGTACTTAATGAGTGAGTTTGCAGGGGAAATTTCTGGGCAGGCTCACACTGAAGAGACTCCTTTTATCCAGCAAACAGGTAAGCTGTGGCATTCTGCTTCAGGATGTTGAGAAGGCTCTTTGCAAAGCTTTGTAGTCAAGAATTGGTGGCAAAAAATAAAATAAAAAACAACACAGCAAAGACTGTAACACACACTTGCCCTGTTCTTGCATTCCTCCAAAGGGCTCCACTCCTGACTGCTTACAGGGGCATGAGGCATGGCTGGAGGGGTTTTGTGCTGCCTTGCTAAGCAGTTTTCACATTAACTCCTTTGAAATGATACATTTTTAAATTTCCTGAAGGTTAGGCTTCAATATTGGCTTTAAGCCAGTCCTTGGAGGACTTTGCTTGGCCTCAAGAGAGGCATCTGAGGTCATCACACGGAGCTGAGCTGCTGAGCTGCAGATGAACGGATTATTTCTCATTCCTGTATTAGGAGCACTTGTGGATTCAGACATTCCTCCATTATCATGCTGCTTTTATCCATGCCTCCCTCCAACACTCCACCCATCCCCAGGACTGTGCTTCTGAGCCACAAGGCCTCCTTGGCCCCAAACATTTGCACAGGGTTGAACTCATATTTAGACCTTAATGATCCTGCGTTACCTGGCCTCATTATCCAGGTTGGGCTGCTGCTGAGCCTCGATAGGTCCTTAGGAAGGAAGGGAGTGTGGATATAAACTGAAAGGCACAAGAAAAGGTTGCTGAACAGAAAGGTGCAGGTGCACCATCCCCAGAAAACCTCCTAAAGGCTGTCAGTGCTCACTAACAGGGATGAGACTTCCTAGAACACATTCTGCATCCGGGAGAGCCACAGCTCTGGCAGAGCTCACTCTAGGATCACTGGAAGGAGGTGGGAGGTCCCCCTAAGCCGGTTGGAGATGCCTTGTCACACCATGAGCTATTTGAGGGGTGGCTGCTGCAGTTCTGGCTCTCAGCGCACTCTTCAAGCAGTTCCCACAGCCCAAGCATTAGTCACAGGGATTCTATTAATTAGCTTCGGAGAGGCAACCCCCAAGAACAGGGGAAATTGTAATTACAGCCCTTGCCTGTTAACTTTGTTTGGGCTGGTGTATCTGCTTTTAAAGCAGAAACAAAAGGGAGCAGACCAAGACAGCTGATGCTACTACAAAGAAATGGGCAGATGAGCTTGAGAGGAGCCGGCATGGGCTAGGAGTTGCAACACTCTCTACAAACCCATCTGCCCCCAGAGTCACTGGATTTGCCAGCGACCACTTGCAAAAACTGCTGCAGCAAGATTTTGCTTTGCCTGAGTGATAAAGGGCTAACCGAATGCAGATCAGGAGTCACCATCACGGATGTTCTGTGCCTGCGCAGTGGCAGCATCCCTGTGTTGTCCATGGGTATGTGGGCATGTGCAATCTCCGTCCCTTTGTGTTCCACCATTTATTTAAAAAAAAAAAAAAAGAAAAAAGAAAGAAAGAAAGAAAGAAAGAAAAAGGAAAAAAAAAATACATCGAAGCACAAGATTAGCTGGGGGAAGGGAGATGGGTTGGTGGGGCTGGGAAGAAATAATTGCCATGTCTGAAAGCAGTTACTATGGCAGCAACAACCTTCTTGCTGCTGGAGAAATGTTGGGGACCAGCAAGTGCTGCCTTTGTCAGATGCTCTCAGGCACACATTTAGATGCTAATGCTGGCTTTAACCTTGGCTGCATAACCTTGGGCGAGGGGGGGCAAGGGGGGGAAGGGGGGGAGAAGGAAAGTAGGGGAGGGGAGAGCTTATGGAAAAGATGGGTTTCCTCTCCCTAAATTTGCCACTGAATTGACTTGGCATACTCCCCTCACCGCGATTACCGCTGTTATTCCTGCGCTTAATATTCAGCAGAGGTTTTAACAGCTTATTTATGGATAGCTGGCATTAGCTGCAGCATAATTCACCACTGCAATGCTCCTGTTTATCTCTGTCCCCTTGGGATCATTTGATATAAGGCCATTTTTTAGAACATCCCCTAGGTTTGATCAGGCTGTCTATCTAATCTCGACTTTATTTATAACTCGCAATCAATGCTGGGGTGAAAATAGGAGGGGCACCTTTCCCTTCCACTTCAGTAAGAGATTTTGGTGGCCTCTTTCAAAAAGGAAGCCTTTCAACTGGAGGCTCAAAGCCATCTTCATCAGCAGGGGTGAAAGAGGAGGAAGGGAGGGGAAGCTTGGGCTTCTGCATGAGAAGTGATAGGAGGGAAAAGGGCTTCCAAGTGCTCCAAGTTCTTTTCAGAGAGAGTGGTGAGGTGCTGGAACAGGCTGCCCAGAGAGATTGTGCGTGCCCCATCCCTGGAGGTGTTCAAGCCCAGGTTGGATGGGGCCCTGGGCAGCCTGGTCTAGTGTTAAATGGGGAGGTTGGTGGCCCTGCATGTGGCAGGAGGGTTGGCAATCCATGATGCTTGAGATCCCTTCCAATCCTGGCCATTCTGTGATTCTGTGCTCAGAAAGAGCGGTGATGCAGTGGCACAGCTGCCCATGGAGGTGGTGGAATCACCATTCCTGGAGGGTTCTGTAACAGTGGGGATGTGGCACTGAAGGATGTGGGCAGTGGGCATGGTTGGGTGGGCTGGGGTTGGACTGGATGATCTGAGAGGTCTTTTCCAACCTTTATGATCCTATGGCTGTTTGATTTTCCAGCCAGCCCTGTGCCTGTGCCCTGCCTTGTGAGCGGTGATGCTGGGCCAAGCCACGTTCCTCCTGCACACTGTGCTCACGGAGCTCCCTGTGCTTCTCACATCGTCACCACGTGGTGTTTTCCACAAAAACTGCACCTGCTGTCACCTCCGCAGTGTCACAGCAAGCTGCCTGTATTTTTAATGACTGCATGTGTTAGCAGGTAGTCTTATTCCCCGTAAAGCAGCAAACACGCATCCACAGAATGAAATATGAAGATGAGAAATGATCCCACTCCATCCCGACAATCCCCACTGCATGCTGCATGGGAAGATCATCTTATATTAAAAGCGTTATCTGTCTCCTGCGGTATACTTCTTTCTCCAGGGCTTTCCGGTTAAGCTGTCAGATGTGGTGGATCGTCATTTTACCGACGCTCTGAAGGAGGAGGTGGATAACAGTGCAGGAGCAGCTCTGCCGCTGCTCTTGGGAGCGATAGCAAAAGCAACTGCCAGAGCGAGGAGCCGGGCAGAGTGTGGGACCCTCGGGGGCCAAAACGCGGAGAGAGGGCGTTTATAAAGCACAAAAGGTCTCGGAGCTGGGGCGGCTGTGCGGTGGGGATCGCTGGGAGGTCACCGTGACGGCAGCACCTCAGCATCCGCCCTTCCGCAGCCGGCGCCCGCAGCCCGGCCCCACGCCCGGGGGCTGCCCCGGGACCGCGCGCGAGGGGCGTGCCGCCATGAGGCGGCGGGAAGGCGGGAAGGAGGAGGAGGAGGAGGAGGGAAGTGGCGGCGGCGGCGGCGCGGTCCCTCCTCCCGGGCGGGGCGGCCGGCAGTCCCCGAGCCCCGGTGCGGCGTGGGAGCGTCGCTGCCCGCCGCTCCGTCAGGGGCCGAGCCGGGACGAACCGAGCCGAGGCGGGCCGGGCCGGCGCGGGGATGGGTGCGGGGCTGTGAGGGCGGCGGAGCCGGGGGCGGCCATGGGGAACATCTCCTCCAACATCTCCGCCTTTCAGTCCCTGCACATCGTCATGCTGGGCCTGGACTCGGCCGGGAAGACCACGGTGCTTTACCGGCTGAAGTTCAACGAGTTCGTCAACACCGTGCCCACCATCGGCTTCAACACGGAGAAGATCCGGCTGAGCAACGGCACGGCCAAGGGCATCAGCTGCCACTTCTGGGACGTGGGCGGCCAGGAGAAGCTGCGCCCGCTCTGGAAGTCCTACAGCCGCTGCACCGACGGCATCATCTACGTGGTGGACTCGGTGGACGTGGACCGGCTGGAAGAAGCCAAGACGGAGCTGCACAAGGTGACCAAGTTCGCCGAGAACCAAGGCACGCCGCTGCTGGTCATCGCCAACAAGCAGGACCTGCCCAAGTCGCTGCCCGTGGCCGAGATCGAGAAGCAGCTGGCGCTGCACGAGCTGACCCCTTCCACCACCTACCACATCCAGCCGGCCTGCGCCATCATCGGCGAGGGGCTGACCGAGGGCATGGACAAGCTCTACGAGATGATCCTCAAGCGGAGGAAGTCCCTTAAGCAGAAGAAGAAGCGGTAGAAGCCCGCAGATGTGCGGACGGCTGGGAGAGCAAACAAAGGAACAGAGGAGGAGAGAGAACCAAAGCGATCCTTTTTTTGTTGGTTGATGGGGGTTTTTTTTTTGTTGTTGTTTTTTTTTCTTCCCCTTTTTATTCCGGTGTGAGTGTGTGGTTTTTTTTAATTTTTTTATTTTTTTGTCCCTTTCCGATTGAAACGACTACAATAGCGGTGATAACAATGCCACTCCTGCAAGCCAAGCCCAGATCCTGACTGCAGGATCTCCTCCTCCTGCTCTCCCCTTTGCCCGCCGCCCTATCCCCGGCCATAGGGCAGCATGGAGCAGGGGTAGGGCACTGCTCCCAAACCCCTGAGCCCCATGGCCGGGCTGGAGATGCTCTGAGCGGGGCGAGACGCCGCGGGCGGCCGAGAGCCCACGGAGCTGGGGCAGCCCCCCAGCTCTCCTCCGTGCCTGGGGGTCTGACTGCTGCTGGGGGGCAAACCTAGGGGTGAACAGGGCAGGACCCTGTGCAAGTGCATTTGAGAGGCCAAAGGTGAGGCTACAGCTGTGCAAGGTCAGCCAACGGAGGCTTGGAGCAGCACAGTGTGGGGGAGACGACCGAGGGATGAAACGTGACCGCCGGGACAGAACCCCAGCATGGGGACAGAACCCTGCGAAGGGGACGAAACCCTCTGAAGGGGGCAGAATGTGGCCAGAAGGACAAAAAGAAGGACAGAGCCTGGCTAAGGGGACAGAACCTGGCCAAGAGGACAAATACCCCTCCAAAAGGACAACACAGCCCCTCTGCAGGCTGGTGTTTTAGGAAGGACAGACAGCTTTCATGCAATGCCGGAGCAGCTGGAGGTGCATATCAGCTGGTGACTGGTGCTGAGCTTTAAGCTGTTTGCTTAAAAAAAAGAAAAGAAAAAGGAGGAGGGAGGGGGGAAGCGGCACGGGGTCCAGGAGCCCCCGTTTTCTAAAGCTTGGTTGTGGCATCTCCTGCAGCAAAGCCACAGGAGGTCTTTATCGTGCCCAGGCAAAGGCATGCTCCAAGGTGCTAATCTGCTCCGATCGGGGTGATCCAAAATACGGATTACTTTGAAAAAGGAAAAAAAAAAAAAAAACAAAAGCTTTGTACACCACCGCGTGGATTGATCACCGTGCTGCTCTGCGAGTCGGGGGGAAGGTTGGGGCGGGGGGTCTGTGGCAGCAGAAGGCAGGACGGGCAGGTGCCAGCACTGCGCGGTGCAATGGGCAAAGCTTGCCCAGTCCTGCCAGAAGGTTGCAAAATCCAGCAGGAAAAGGGACTCGGCAGCGCCGGGAAAATGTAAAGAGTTGGGAGAGGGGGGTGGGAAGCATGGGGCAGAAGGGAGGTTATTTTTTTATCAAGATTTAAACCCACTGAAAGCAGAGAGCCCCCAGTTGCCAGCAGGTTCGTTCCTGGTTTCCTGGAGGGCTGAGTGCTCGGGGCAGGGGCAGGCCCCGTGGTTTCCTTCTGCAGGTGGAGGTTTGGTAGCAGGGTGGGAGCGCTCCAGCCTGGAACCGTCGCCCTGCAGGACAAAGGCAGGGGCCCCGCTTCCCGCGCTTCCCACTGAAAGAATGGGGGAGGCCCAGGCAGCCCTCAGGGCCGAACGTGCTGAATTTCAAGCCGCAGTTGGGCAGGATTCTGCAGTGGTTTTACTGTTAGAAAACCCTCCCCAAAGCAGCCAAGGAAACCACCGAGCAGACAAAGAAAAAATGCCCTCGGGTTTCAGGGAGTTGATTCTCCCGTTGCAGCCACGAGCGAATGAGCACGGTACCTTTCGCAGCGTTTCGTTGGAAAAGCAAACGCTGCAGCCGGGCAGCGTGGCCCTTCTTTTGCAGGGTTTGAGTCCCTACGAGTCCTGACTTGTGCGTTGAGCGAGTGGGCTGGTCCCATCCCTTCAGGAGGCTCTGTTCCTGCTTCCTTAGGTTTGCTTTGCTCAGTCTTCACCCCGAATACTTTGGTACTTGGTGCTGGGAGAGAAAACAGTATTTATTTTTCGATGCCACGGAAGCCAAACGCTTTAACCTTCATTGGTGAAGTAAAGAACTCCTTTTTCCCACCGTCTCAAAAGCGAGCAGGTTTGAAACAGAGCAAGTGCAGGTGTTAGCTGTGTGCTTTGCCTCCTCGCTGGCGAGAGGTGGGTCTTGGTTCTGCAGACACCAGCATTGAAGTTATGAGGTGTGTGTCTGCTGAGCTCGGTCCTTCCCAGGGACCGCTCTCTGCTCAGCAACCCCATTGAGAAGCATCTGCCTTCCAGCTGGGCTTTAGGCATGTGCTCACCTTACCTGCCTCAAGGCTCAAGACCTGAAAGCTCAGGTGGGACGCTGTCATGGTGCCATTCCCACCAGTTCTGCTTTCTGCAATAATTAAAATCACTTCTCCAATTAGTTGCTAATGGCTTCTGTGGCATTACCCTAACGTTTCACAACTGTGTGCTGAATGACAATGAGCGTCGCCTAAGGTGGGCTGGAAGAGGTGCTTCAACAAAATGACAGTTGAAGGAAATTGCCTGTGTTGTTGCTCTGAGCCTTTTGCCGGGTTTTGTCGTCTCTGAATACGTTGGAATGACCCTTTTTTTTTTTTTTAGCAGACGTTTTGGGGTACCGCTGTGGTTTCGTGGGGGTACCTTGCCGTGTTCCCAACAGTGTCTGAAATCCCACTGCCCACGTCTCAGCCCTGCCGCTGACCACCAGTCTCTGTCCTTCCTGTCTTTCCTCTTTTTCTAAAAAATGCAGACATAATGCTGTGAACTGAAATAAATTATTTATACAGTGAAAGGGCCTGATAAAAAAAAAAACAAACAAACAAACAAACAAAAAAAAAAAACCCAAAACAAAACGTGTTCCTCTGCTTCTTTCTCTTTACTAGTGCTGTGTTTTACAGTTGCTTCCCTGTGCATGTGGCTGCTGCCTTCCCTGGCTGTGACGTTTGATGGATGTGGCCGAAGCTTTTCTAAGTGATGTGCAATGCAGTGGCAGAGCCGGGCCTGTAGGGGTTAAAGCACCAGGACAGGATGCTGCTGCTCCCGGGTGGCTGCTGACACAGGAAACTTGGGTGACATTTCAGAGGTGAAGGCTAGAGCGGGTGGTAACTGATTTTTTAAATTTTCGGTTTTTAATGATGACGTTGCATCTGGTGAGAAAACGAGTCAAACTGGTGGCAGTTCAATTTGATCGGGCTCGGAGCACTTGGAGAGGTTTGCTCTGGGCTCATCTCTGCTGCCCACGTGGCTTCCAGCGTGTGTGGTGTCTGGTGGCACAGACTGGGCAACAGCCAGGAAGCTGGAGGTTTGGAGAGGCTGTGACTTTGCGTGTTACTGTGCCATCAGACCTGTCCTCAGGGCTGCAAGCAGGGGGTTGCGTCCTCTTGCCAGCAAAGCTCCTTGTGCCTTGAGCTGCAAGGGCAGACATCCTCCTGCAAGCCACAGCTACTTCTGGTTGGAGAGTGCTTTTACCAGCAGGGTATTGGTATGTTTGGGCCAGCTGTCATGAAACTGTTTCACAAGGAGCAATCTGACCTCGCTGTGCTCTGGAGCTGGCTGTGATTTATGCTGCCACATCATCTCCCTGAGCTCAGGTAAACTGAGCAGTGCTGAGCTGGGGACCCCAGCCCAACGTGTTGGGACTCTCATGGTGTGTAGAGCCCGGAACACCAGGCAGTGCAAGGGATGATATCCCTGCATGAAGAAAACCATGTACAACACCAGCTGCGCCAGATCTCTGCCAGCACTAAGCAGGTAAGAGAGACCTGCAGCCTTTTACCATTTGAAGTGCAAGAAACTGCAAAGGATATTGCATCTTTGAGGCTTTGCTTAAACACAAGCTCCCAAGAGCCCTGCAGCCCCTCTTCTGTAGTTCTGCCTGTGCCCTGCCTTCTGACTGAACAGATCCTCTCTCCCCAATTTGCTTTGTTAAGCTAAATCCCTCTGCTTTATTTCAAATGGGATTTGCTCCCAAGCAAGTATCTTTAAAGGGATCATCTTGGTTAAAGTAATTCCTAGAGCACAGAATCCCTGAAGCACAATGCAATGCAGAGAGCTATTTCTTTGCACAGCACCAGGTGCTTTTGCTCAAGATTTGGGCAGCATGTGGATGACTATCTCTTTAAAATAGGCTACAAATTGTTGTGTTTGCTTGTTCTCATTCATCTTCAATGAGAATTACCCTCAAATCACGTGCACTTTTTTTCTGAGGAGCAGAAGTTGCTGGTGTGAGTCAGGTCTGCAGGACACAAAGCACTTCACAGAAGAGTGTCATCCTGCTTGCAGACTGCTTCAGGATGTTTGTGATGAGATCTGGGACTCCTAATCCTGGTCACATTCTTTCAGATGCCCCAGACCTCTTTTTCACACGTATAAGAGGGTTGCTAGCATTTTTCATACTCCTAAGGCTACAGAATGGTGTTGGCATGCTTAGATCTCCATCTTAAAGATGCTGAATTCACAGGATTAGCTCTGATACATCAGAAAAAGGGTTTGAATGGTGCTAGGTTCAGTGGGAGATTGCTGCAGTTATTCCTGCTTGCACGTGGCAGGGCTACTTCAGTGCCTCCATTCAGCCTCAGCATCTCCATGCCACACTGACTTAGTGAGCAGTGGCTCTCTGAAACCCTTCAGCCATACAGTCCGAGTTATGACTGCAAGAGGACAGTTAATAACCCATTTTAGAGCTGTGGCTGCCCTGCAACTGCAGGGACAGGGGTCAGCTCCAAGTGCTATGTGTCAGAGAGGATGGCACAGAGGCTCCCGTTGCCAGCACAGTGCTATACCAGCTATGCCCTGGCCACATCTGCAGGGCTGGAGGAGCCGGGGGATCCAGATTTCCCCCACTCCCCTTTGTGAGCTCATATCTGCTCCCAGCAGCTGCAGCCCCCCCTCCAACCTTTTCTGCTATGCCAGCCCCATTGGTGCAAGTGCTCCTGTCCCATTCCGTGTCTCGTGCTCGTGACACTGCATGCAGCATTCCCAGTTTGTGTTTGGCTGGGTGATCTGTGCTTGTTCAGCTCTGCTGTGGGTTTGAGAGAGCACAGAGGTGAAAAAAACTGCGGCAACGGGAAATGCAAACACAGGGCAATTGTTGGGCTGGCTAATGTTTAAACAGCTCTTGGAAAGCCCCCTCCCTTGTTGCTTGCCCTCTCTACCCCTTCTAACAAGGGGACCCTTTCAACTCTTTGGCAGCTTCCCCATCCTCCAGCTTCTGCTGCCCATTTCAAATCTCCAAAGGCAGGAGGAGGAGGAATGGCAGTGCTGTGACTTCAAAATGTTTGCTTGCCCACTGCGTCCTCCCAGGATGGACCGTGCTATTTCCCAGCCAGCCTTACAAATCGCCTTACTTAGAAAGGGGACTTTGTTAGAGCACAGTCGATGCCCAGATGACAATGGGTTATGGGGAAAACTGGAAAAATGATAACCCACCCTCACACCATTCTTGTCACGTGCACTGGTTGCTCCCCATTCAGCCTCTGTAGCTAATGACTGCAGGAGAAATGACCTTCACAGTGCAGCTGCACAGGTCTGTTTCCAGCACACGGCCAAGAGGTTGCATCTGGTGGTCTCAGAGAGATGGAGATCTTGCTGATGTTCTCTTTGCAAACCTCAGCACAAGGAAGATGAGATGAGAGGAGAGGAGAGGAGGGGCTGTCTCCTGGGGCTCAGCCCAGCCATGGGATTGCTGCATTTCTTGTGAGATTTACAGCAGCCTCAGAGCATCTCAGCCTAGGAATGGGGCAAGGGTAGGTTAACCCCATCCCTTTCCATTGTTGCTGCAGCTTCTGGCACGGAACCCATCTGTCTTCCTTCTCAGACCAGCCTCTCTTAAGGTGCTGCCCATCTTCTTTTCATCACAAGGGTGTGATGGAAAGAGTAAGTCCAGGCTGGAAAGGGATGAAATATTTCCATGATGACTCACCTCCACACGGCCACAAAACCTCGTGCAGGACAAATAACTCATCTGGGGCCCCTTCCTCCCTCCCCCTCCCTGTAAAACTCAATTAGAGCAAAGAAGGTAGAGGAGAAAAACTGTTTTACTGAACCTTAACATCAGCATTTCTTTTCAGCTTGTCTGCTTTGTGTCTGTAGTAATTGCTAGGATGTAATGGGTGAAAACTGGAGCTTGATTGCAGACAGGAAGATGCTGATGTGACAATGTGTTTGAAGGGGGCAGTGGAGCATGAGGCCATAAACCTGTCGGGAGGTCACCAAAGGGGCTGCTCTGAGGAATGAGGGCTCTGCTGGAGGTTTATCACTGCGGTCTGAAGGTTTGTAACCTCTGAGGATGCTCTAGCCAGGAAGAACAGAGCTTTACTGGCTCATTTTATGCTAAATTTGTCTTAGCCCTGGATAAAGGATAGCCTGGGAGAAGGCCTGGGGGCTAGGAGAAACGTCATAGAATCACAAAAATATTTAGGTTGAAAATGACCCCCAAGGTCACCGAGTCCAACCATCACCTGACACTACCCAGTCCTCCACTAACCCATGGCTCTCAGTGCCACATCCAAAATGTTTGCAAGGTAATGGAAGTCCTTGCAAACCACATGGTGCTCCTCCTTCCTCTCTGTCCAAAAACAAACGTGCTTCCATCCTTTCCATGCCATTGCCTTTTTCTGGCTGAGTATCCAGGAGTCTCTGTATGGCAATCTCAGGAATGGAAACTGCAGCAGAAGAAATCCTATCCCTTTACCCCCCCCTGCTCCCCATCTCCTGTCCTGATGGAGCTTCTTTTATCATGAAATATGCAGAAAATTGTTGGGTTCTAATGATCTGAACTCCTTCAGTCAAGACAGGACTCAGCTTGCAAAGAATGTGAATAATTTATGTGTAGATAATAATGAGAGAGCGCATGAGGAGAAAGGAATTTGTCTTTCGTTCTCCTCAGTGCAGTTCCTGAGGTGATGCTGAACTCAAACAGCAATTTCTGATTGTCCCAGGTAGTCTGACTTGTGTGGGGACCTTCCTTGGACTGCTCTGCTTGTACTAAGCAGAGCCTCCTTTTCTGCTTTAATGCAGTCCACTGTGGATGCAATTGCTAACTGAGGGGAATACTTTTCACTTCCAGTTAACCGTAGATCTGTATTCCCTGGCACCCTTGCATACCCTGGAGTAGCTTTTCCCTATAGGCAAGTCTCCAGAACCAGTGTAGAAATCCACCTTCCAGTCCAAACCCAAACCTTGCAAATGCAGTGAGTCATTCCAAGAAACTCACTGTGCTGGCATAAGCCAGAAGCCCTGACATGTTTTTTGAGGAGTCCTAGCAAGGGTAAATACATAGCTTGTGAAAGAAAAAAAAGGGCCATTTCAATAGGTTTAATATATGAAATATCAGGAGATGAATTCTTCACTTCATCCACACGTTGTTTTTAATTCCCTTGTTCCAACTTTGCTGTCGATTGGATCGTTTGGAAAAACAAAAAAAGACCAAAACACAAGGCCACAAGGCTTTTTCTCCTCCCAGTCCTCAAAATCCTCAACATCTGTCCTTAGCAGAGGTGTGCTCAGATCAGGTCGGGTGGGAGTGAGGCTGATGTACTGCTCCTGCTTGAAATTTCCCCTTAAGGCAATCTCAGATGACTGGCAAAAACAACTAAGACTCTTAAGGGTTAAGTCTTAACTGATTGAAGGAGGGTGGGGAGGGTCTCACACTGGTCACCTTGACTTCTGCCCTAGGTGTAGGACAGTCACTAGTGGAGGACTCTGCAGGATAAACATGGACAACATGCTCATGGATAATGTGCCTTTAATTACTATTAATTACTTAGTTGTGCTCTCCATGGCTCTGCTTAAGAC